TCCAGTTCCCAGGGGATGAGTTAGTGTTGCCACTCTGGCCCCTTGTCCCCTTTTGCAGCAGTTTGACCTCTCCCTTCCTCCCCCAACACAGCCATAAAGCACAGTTCCCTTCATTCAGCCAGCCAGTCAAGTTCCCTCCCACTTAAAAGGTGTAGTGTGGTCATTTCCTTCAAGAGGCAAAAAATATATGACAATATACGGTACTAAATCAAAACACCATAACTAACACCAGTAGATTAAGATATGGTAGAAAGCATGTGAGTTCCAAGATTACAATCAGTCCTTTTCTATACATATGGGGCTCCTACATAAAAATTAAATGAAGAACAACAAATGTTGCATATATAAATCAGAAGAGGAAACATACATGTATATTCTATATAATAATAACGTAATCCTGGAAAGCAGGAAGTGAACATGGTAAAAAGCGTTTTGTTCAACTCTTTCTTAATGTGAGATGGCTCCTTTGACTCTTCATAACAAAACAAGTGATACTCCAGAAACAAAAGGAAACCCCATATTTCCCTCCAAATTGTAGACTGGGTCATATTGACAGGTGATTTTGCAGCCTACAGCCCCAATTCTGCAAAGACTTAACATCAATTACTTAAAATGGACTTGAAGTCAATGGGACTATTCACAGGGCAGAAAATTAAGCAGATCTGTAAAACTTTGCATGATCAGGCATTAGAATGGGCTCCCTTCCAATTAAATTACAACATGGAGACTTTTCAAGCAGTTGGACTCCTTTCATAAGCACTCATAATTAGTAATGTTTTATAATGAAGTATACACAACTATTTTGGAAAATCTTAAGCATGTTGACTACAGACTGGAAAAATGTATGTTTCTGTACATTATACAGGTTACTGAAGATTGTTTGGCAGATGGTTTTGGTTTTTGGTTACTTTTTTTTTCTTTTTTTTTTTAAGTATCGGATTCTGGTCTTTGGTTCAGCTACATTAGAAGTTTCTGAGCACTTATTTCAGTTTTCACCTGACCAGAGAGTGAAAATGCTCCTGTAATTCTTGCTAAATTATAACCTGACATAGTTTATGTCAAGGAAAAAGCAGAATACCTGTGGGCTAATAGCTATATTTTGCTTAAGTGAATAGAAGGGATGCACATGGCAGCATGAAAATGAAGTTTACCTTTGTTCCTCATGACACCATCTCTTTAAAATAAAATTATTTTGTGAAATATAGAAAAACCTTTCCAAATCTCACTTCAACTCAAAAGCCCTATATTCTCACACACAAAAATAGGAGTTTCTAACATTTAGCAACAGACTAAAAGTTACCAGTTTGTAAACACTACAGCTGTACTGAGGTCTTTTATCACTGACTTCATTAATGTTACAAAATAGATAATATATTTACTGATCTATTATGTTATCAAATTAAAGAACTTGTCAAAATAAACAAACAGTCAATTTTGTACCCTTTTTATTGGGTGTTAGCTTACTTGCAAATTTGCAAAATTCAGTAATCCTCAATTGGTCACCTCCTCAGTGCAAATCAGTGAAAGTCTACTCAGTTCTTAACCGTATAATTGGAATATTGTGTAATTGGCTAAAATTCCTGGTAGTTATGCAATTAGTTGAACAAAATCCTGTTTTTAACAACAAAAGGGTAAAAGATACTCTATTTGTAGAGATTTAATTTAAAACTATACAAATATGCATTAAAGTGGGCTGCATATCCATTTTTACTATGCTACAGGATAAAAATGAGGTTAATTCTATTTAAACATCAAAAATTCTTCCAAGACAGCATATGTATTTAAAGTCATAAGAAAAAGAGGATATTTGGAGCTCACACGCCAACAAGGACACACCACATAACTCCTACCTCTCTGACTTCATGGAGTTGACCAGTATATTGACTCTTGGCTCTCCGGGCTGCTGCAGGCGATTTGTGATGTGTAACGGTAACAACGGTCGGTCCACTTTGACCCTGATGTTTTTGACTACTAGGAGATGCAGAATTACTCATCCCAGGAGGAAGCAAAGACAAGTTTCTGTTTCGTGAGGAGGGAGTGCTCTAGAATAAGCAACAAGATGTTAAAATGAAGAATTAAGATACATGAAAACATAATGTATGACCAAAAACTCGAAGGCTGCACTCTTCTCCTTATAAAACTGAACCTGGAGAACTATAGGCACTCAAGGCTTACTGATGACAAAAAATGCTGATAACAAGTATAGTGAAATTATGGCAAGGATCAATCCTGATAATGCAGAAGTCGCTATCTACCTGGTTTGTTGAGATTTCTGAAGTAGACTTCCCTAGCTCTGGCGAGTAATTTCCAAACATTGCTCTATATTAATATGCTGGAAGTGTCTTTGTAGCCAAACACACAAACCTTTTAAAGAGGGTAAATAATCTGCTTTTCTAAGCACAAAAGAATCTCAATTACGCTGATACAACTAGATTTTATAAAGTCACTGACCAGTAATTCACGAGGCATGCTTGCTGATTTTACAAAAAGGTATTTAGTTAAAGTTAATGCTTTCCCCTGATTAGTTTATGAAATAGTTTGATGCTTCCTTTGCATAATTTTCAAAGCAGCAGCCATTGTAAGGCCCATACTCCAGGTTAAATTAAAATGTGAAGCAGAAGTGTGCTTTGAAAGTGCCAAGAGATATTTTGGGGAGTGGATGAGGACAGGAGAGGGAGGCAATGGGGTAAGTGGGAGGCAGTGGGAGCCAGGGGCACTTGGGGGTGAAGCCCAAGGGAGGCAGCAGGGACCATGGGCGCGGGGGGTGGGGTGGGTGGAGAGTCCGGGGGAACACAAGTGCAGTTCCCCTGAAACTGTGACGATGATATTTTATTTCATTTTTTCTAAAGGCCCAAATCCAGCAAAAGTACTTAAACGTGCTTAAATGTTCCATTGATTTCAATGCGACTACTCACATGCTTATAACTGAGCATATGCTTAAGAGTTTGCTTGATTGGGGCCTTAATGTCAGAACATATTATACTAAATAATAATTAAGAACTGGAAAGTCACACTATTAAACTTTGTAATGTTAACAGCAAAAGTGGGTCAGTTGTGAAGCTTCCATCCAAATTCAAGTTCCTCAACTTCAGATCTAAACCCAAACCATTTCACAAGAGTGTTGGGATTCGGAATTCTGAACTGGCCCATCATGAAAATAAATGAGCTGTGAAGGTGAAATCTGGACCTAGATCTGATCTTCCTCATGTTTCTGAGTGATTTGGATTCTGTGTCCTAGTTTTGGGTCCATCTCTAGTTAATAGTGAACTGTAAAGAGAAAAGGGAATGGCAGGCAAGCCAAGAAACGTGACTTGACCGTCCCTGCTAATTGGGCTGAGCACAGGAGATTGAGCACAGAAATCCGTTTTAATTTACTTTCCAAAAATTCTTTCAAGCCACTATCCTTCTGCATTGAAATCTGTTTTTACAGGTTTGCTAATGACACCCCACATTTATCATTCTGTGATACTACAGATACCAGAAGAGACATCATAGCCACAAGGAAGGTTGGCAGGAGATTACTGGTACTTGTGATACCCAAGAGAGTCAATGTCTCCTTGTAAACCCAGAAGAGAGAGCAGATTCAAATGGAGAAATTAGAACTGATTCCTGACATAATTATTGGTTGCTGATACTATCACAAGAGCTCTAAAAATTATATCAAATGATTGTTTTGCAAATATCTGTTCTTCAAATTGATATAAAACACCAGTGTAATCCAGAACTTCTTTGTGTGTAGCTTGCTTTTAGAAGAGTATCTATCTGCTGTTACATAATGTCATAAGACATTCGAAGTAGCCAGGGCCGGCTCCAGGCACCAGCATAGCAAGCAGGTGCCTGGGGCGGCCAACGAAGAGGAGGGCGGCACGTCTGGCCGTTCGGCGACAATGGCGGCAATTCAGCGGCGTGGCCGTCACTCCCTCTGGGAGCGAAGGACCTGCCACCAAATTGCCGCCAATCGCGCTTTTTGGGAGTGGGGGGGAGGGGGAGGCTGCTTGGGGCGGCAAAAACGCTAGAGCTGACCCTGGAAGTTGCTCTAGAAATCAAAACTCCTTTGTCTCGAGTGCCTGCCCTGAACCTCACTGCATAACACAGAACCTTTAAATTGTGTCCTCCCCTCCCTGTCAGCAGTTACCAGTCTCCTCTACTATTAATAATGGTCTGAGTTTTTTCCCTCTCTCTGAGTTCAATTGTTCACATATCTGATCTTTTAATAGGGTTGCTACTCCATGGCTTATTCACTGCGTCACTCAAAGTTATTTTATACTAGAGAAAGCCTGAAGTATTGCAGTTTCAGTCAGGAACACAGATGTATCAGAACACATATAATGTATCATTGCAGATATCACAGTGATAGATGCTTTAGTGTGTTATCTATATGTGGTCCATCACAGCCTAGGCTATTTTTGTCCATGTTTGAAAAATGTTGTTAGTGGTTTAATTTCCACACTTAGGCTACATCTACACTACGGGGGGGGTCGATTTAAGATACGCAAATTCAGCTATGCGAATAGCGTAGCTGAATTTGACGTATCGCAGCCGACTTACCCCGCTGTAGGGACGGCGGCAAAATAGACCTCTGCGGCTTCCCGTCGACGGCGCTTACTCCCACCTCCGCTGGTGGAGTAAGAGCGTCAATTCGGGGATCGACCCGAGAGGTCGATTTCTACCCGCCGATTCAGGTGGGTAGTGTAGACCCAGCCTTAGAGAGATCTATGTAATGTGCTTGCTAAGCTTCTTTCTTCTGTTTTATTATATTCTTGTTATATGCATACATCTTTTGTTTTGATTTTATTTTAGTATCAGACAAAATGGCATGTATTGTACACTGACAACAACATTTTAATAAAAATGAGGGTGGCATAGATGCAATATTTTGAGTAAAATACAGGTATGATCCCACTATTTCTACATACAAGTTCTATATATTTGTACTTGTTTTCATAGTTGCAAAGAGAATTATTGTAATAAGTGAATGGAAATGGAAGAGGAAGTCTTATTTTCACCAGTAGTGCCTATATACTCAAA